TCAAAATAGTTTCCATTATCTATTGGAGCCAACCAATACGATCATATTTTGTGTTACATTGATGCTAAGAGCTATCACAATTGATTAAGAACAGTCAAATCGCTTCTCGCGATGTAATGCCAAAAGTTTTTAAGATCAAATTAATCTCGAATTGGCGCGAGTATTACATCTGGCAGGCGTGGATAACATAGTTAACGACGGGACACGGGCAGGGATTTCGCAGGATAAAACTAAAGGATTATCCTTCTCATTAACACCTGCTACAACCGACTTCCTTCTCGCTAGCCCCTTCCGTTTGCTTCTAGCGAGTTTAAAGTTATCTCGATTATTCCGGAACTTAAATGACGTATTTATTAAATTAAACACATTTCTCATCGTTAGAAGTTTCCTGAAGCATTTAATAAGATTTCCAAAATTTCAACGCTACAGCTACGCTACCTCTACTAGAGTCTGAACAAAGTTTTCTTGTATAATAAAGCCATATTATACCTTAAATAACAATAAAACAATATATAATTATGCAACAAAAACTTTATCGCAAACACTCGAAACAATCAAACATTTTCCAAAGTCATTAAAATTTGTTAATTACGTTACATGCTACATTCTCCCTATCTAATTATCGTACCATAATTACGCTTGAGGTTGCACGAAAAGAGTTCATTTTGAAATTTTAATTGACAACCCTGTCCCGAATCCACGGCAGGTCTTAAAACCCGTCTTCCTTGAAAGAGGCATTTAAGCCCGATAGAGTAAAGTTATGAGCGAGTAATACTCGAAAGTTGCGAGAGCTTCTAGAACCAGAGTTGCCTACGGCAAAACGGAGTTATTGCATAACTTTGAGTCTGACTCTTTGTTAATAATGAGAGGCATTGCATGAAATTATTCTCGAGAGTACTATTGAGAATTTGACACGATGTACTTTCCATTGTTTGTTATATTAATTTACTTATTTCAATAACATATTATCTAGAGATTTTCTCTCAGTAATTTCTAATAAAAAATAAATTAGGTCTTTTCTAAAAAAAAATCATATATAAAAAAGTCGACATTTTAAATTCAACTAAAATTGGAATGCTAGCGCGTCGTTCCACTTGTAATGTCATAGTTTGACGAATGCGAATCTTGAACTAACGCGCGATATTAAGTTAGGAGTAATTTTATTATCTCTCTGAAATGAGAATTGATCACCCACACATCTGTCTCTGTCAGACGTTTCTTTTCTGTCAAACGCCCGGCGGCTCATTCTTCGAAGAATTATACGGAAGATAACGTTATATCTCTATGTTCGTGCTAAAATCGACGAACATGATGTATTTCTGATAGTAACTTATATAGACGCATTTTTCTTATTCACCAAATCAAGTTTATACAAGCTTTATAAAATTAAAATTGCAATCAGTGTAAAAGTAGTAATAATAATTATATACGCGAACGCATATATTCAAGCATATCTAAATATAACAAGGCTATAAACGGAATGGGAACAGTTACAAAATAACTTGAATAAAAATTTAAATCGCAAGCAGTCGTAAAACTCGACTCGCAAGTATGGAATAAATTTGCAAAAATGTCTTGCGAATAAAAACCTTGGAAAAATCTTTTTTCTGACAAACATTGTAGAAATCACATCTCAAATCCAAATAATTGAAAACCACACAGTAGAAATGTTACAATGGGATGAGAAAGGTTTTCCTTATATTACGATGCATTTTAAAACAACAGCAATCCCGACACCTGTCTTCAAAATGCAGCTCGTACGAGATGCAATCATAACACGGACGGCACGCATTTGCGCGGTTTATGCAGACGCCTTTTCTGCTGAAATTTCGCGCAATCATACTCGCGCATTTAAAAGCCGACGAGACAAATATTTGTAGCGCACACTCACATTGCCTCAGGCAAAATATCTGTCACGAGAAGACGTAATTAAAGCGATGTAAATTCACGTGCATACCGCCGCTTATATTACGCGGTAAAAACAACGGAAACAATTTATAGTCCGTGCGAGCACTGCGCGACTGCTACATATTATCAAGGATATTTCGTTATCGAGTCTGCGATCTCGTGGCTCGAGTCAATCACGCATACGTTAATGCAAAGACATGTATTGGTTTGACAGTGAATATAAAAAGTGGATCAATTTTGTTATACGTTTACTGATATTTAATTATTTTATATTAAATTGGGCCATAACTCGATTCCCGGAGAACTAAATGTTATCGATGTTGACAAATTGACGAGCCAATCTGTCAACATCGCTATTATTATTTTGCTTGCTGGAATTATTAATTTTATATTAATTGCGTAAAACTGAAATCAATATTGTGGAATCACATATAACCAGTCGTGTTTTTAAATTTTTGCCCCATTTTTTAGAGTAAATGAAAAAAACAAGAGGTAATCTGATAGATTTCAACGAATCTGAGATGATCTGATAGATTTCAATGAATATCGATGCAGTTGTGTGTCCCACTCAACGCACGCGAACCAAAAGAGTCGAAACGACGTTAATTTAGGTTTACACGCTTATATCGCGACAGAAAGCAAGCGAAACAATTTATGGGCGATACGTACGAGCCGAGATTCGCAACACGCTATCATCGGGATAATTCAGTATGTGATCACGATACATCATTTGTCTTGGTAGCGTACACTTACGCACACAAATAGCCGTCACATAAGGGTGACAGTTAATCGTGGGATCAGTCACACGGACATTTGCACTTCGCATTGACGGATCAGCCCATGCTCTATTGAAGCGACTAAAAGCGGCCGATCGCTGTGTGTGGCGTAATTGCATGCTTCCGATCTAAAAATCGATAAATTTCTAAGTTTCTTCACGCTCATTTGCGAAATTAAAGACTTATCATGTTGAATTGAATATACTCTTATCAATATTTTGTTTGACAAAAAATATTGTCGTAGATTTTCCTTCAAATTATTTAAAATCGTAAATGTTTAATGATAAACATACTTACAAGCTTATTTTTAGAGATTCGGTATTAGAATATATCAATTATTCGAAGATTTAAGTAGGAATTTGATCATCGATAGGTGATCCTTTTGTTATTTAATTTCAAGCATGTCGAATTTTGCGAATGTGCCACGGGAGGCCAATAAGTACGGAGAACTTTAATTATAACAGACAGAGACAAGATTCGATTAGTACGCCCTGGGACGCGACTTGGATCGTGCCAATTACATCATATTCGATTATTCGACATAGTCCAAGGACACGCTGCACGCGAATAAACGTGACTGAACAAATGTCTGCTGTTGTGGCGTATTGTTCATCAATTCGAAACAATTCGATTAACTTTTTTGTTATCGTAAAGTAACTTTGTAAAATAATTTCAAAGAAAACTGAAAAATGAAGAATTATTTGCATATTAATGCACAATTCTTTTCAAAGCAGAAACAATATTTTTAACCCAACAGTAAATTTGTTCAATGTATTGTTATTTCTTATCTGCAAATTCCCGATTTATTTGAATGACTGATTTTTTTTCCAGGACGTGATAGACAGTTATTTGCTAATTAGTGTCGCGCTAGTAAATTGCTTTCGCGGACTGACATTTTAATTAAGCCTTTATAACGTACAAATAGTTTATAAATAATAAATGACAAGCTCTTTTATACTTTTTAATTAATATGAATTCAGTGAATGATCTTTAAAAATTGCCAAATAATATCACGACGGTGTCGAAGCAACCTGTAATTTACATGTTAACTAAGTAAAAGTTAGTAATAGTCATTATTAAGCAGTAAATTCCGTAGTCAAAGGTTAAAGATCGCGGATGACCAGCGATTTTCAGCAAAATGTCGAGTTTAATTCTGTATGCACGCGCCGCCGGCTAATTGGGTTATGCAAAACAGCTGTTACTCTATGGCCGCGTAATGCTCGCCAGCGGGTTCGCTTTTCGCAGGGCCAACGCAAAATTCCGGAAATTTTCACGGAGTTGCCGCCGGGGACTTTGATACATACTTCCGGGAGCGGCGAGCTCACCAAAGAATGTAATTCACTAGCCGTGTGGATATTCGTATTTATCAGGATATTGTCGCTTTGCATTTTAATTGAGAATTTGGCGCCGGCGATGTAATTTTGATAATCAAGTAATACAATATCGAATCATGTTTTGCAATCGGTATGCAGCAGAATCTCTATTACACAGACCAATAGGTACAATAATACCAATGTTATCAGTAGAATGATTCAAATAATAGAGCTTAAGAGAGATTGGAATAATGAATATTCAATTTTAATCGATATTTTTAGTATTGTATGCTACAAGAAATTTCTTTTTTGAAACAGATGCACGAAAGTGATGTAATATAAAATTTCAAAAAAAAAAAAAATTTATCGTAACTGTTGTACGATTAATATTTAACATGTGCTCTTCCAATATCAATCCGCGCAGAAGCGCGAATTCAACTGTAACATATCGCGACGCTGCTGCGTGGAGAAAGATTTTTATCGGCGTTATTAAATCGAGCACCGCAAAATTTATTTGCGCGAGAAATGAATCGTTATTCAATATAATTCATCAAATCGACTGTCCATAAAACAACGAAGTGATCGCGCACAAACGTACGGCCATCCCAGCGTTTCGCATTCACGCGTGACTCCTGGGACACGGTTACAACGAAGTACTCGAGTGTGCTTTTGATTGCTTGTCTCGCTGTTCGACTGCATAAACCATCCATTTCCAAATAAAAAAAATTGGATTCCCAGAAATGTAATAAATTACTCTTAGTCAGAAATATATATCACTTTTTTTAAGCAGCATATATATATATATATATTATTCGCTCGAATAATATAATTTTAATTTCCTATCAAATCTGCCTAATTGTTGCAGAAATTTAAAAAATTTGATAAATAACTCAATAAAACCAATTTGCAATATTCGAGTTCTGACAAACGATTGCAATTGCGACGCACATCACGTTGTATAATAACGCAAACACTTTAAAATAAGCAAGAAAAATAGACTCACCCTTCATGCCGAGTGATGATCGCACCTTCCCTCGATGCTCCTTCTTATGGTTTATTTTTCGTTATACAAGCACCGTTATCGACGTGTCCGAGAAGTGATTTCGCGACGTGTAGTTTTACTCCTGACATGAAAGATATGGAGGAAAGCGAACCACGTATTTCACGAATATATGGCACTTCCTGAAAATAATAACACAAGTGAGAAACACCTGTAATGCGATAAAAAAAAATAATGTTAGTCAAAACAAAACAAAAAAATATTATTCAAACTATCAGGCAGAGATTAAAGCCAGAGTAAAATTGCAGAGCGCCGACGTTCCACTGAATAAATCAAAAAGAATATAGTTTTAAATCAAATACCAGTTTTAAATATTTCAAACGAATAACACGTAGAATCCATATTTTTTAAATCTCATAACATTCAAATGAAAAGAAATGATTAACAAACATTGCACTAAAACGTCGGTCAGTAACTTCCTCTCTACAGTTTACTTAGGTCCATATCATTTCCAACGTTTGATATCAAAAGTCCACGTTATTTGGATTATAAACTATCCGGGTGTCAGGTCGAGATCAACATTGATATCTAAGGTGAAATTGCGAGAGAGCGTGGTTTCGCGTGATATGTGCGTGTCGTATCGTAGCGTGGGAATCGAGGTTAAAGCTGTACGATAAGCACGGTTTCAGAAATAGCAGACTTTGTGGCGTTCGGCTGCGAATGAAATAAACGCGTATGTGCGGTTATTATTACAAATGCAGGGAACCACCGAACATTATTCCATCGACATATAAATGCGAGAAAGAGAAATTGAAGGCGGAATAGAAAAATTGTCGGCCAGTTTCAACTCTGTCCGCTTTAACGAAGCAATCAACTTTGATGAACTTTACTTAACGAAATATGTTAAAACGTTGAAATTGACGATCAAAAGTCAAACGTATTATTTTAATAATAAAAATTCAAACGCAGACTTTTTCCATCGCATAAAAATATATCACAATTAAAAAGTAAATTATAAAGATTAAAGAGAAATATTCAAAAACGAATTATGTAAATAAATAATAAAATTATATATATTTTTCTCAATATTTCTTTACGAATATAATAGAACAGACTTGTCCAAGTTTACTGAGCAGAGGCCCCTTACCTTTATCCGCAATCGCTCACGTCGTGCTAACTCCTCCTAATGATAACGGCTAACTGAGCACAATGTATAGAGACAATGAATATATTCGCGATGATCTATGACTCCGCGGTATATAGAGGGCCTCGGTATCTGTCCCTCGTTTCTTCTCCGTCTCCCTCGGCAAAGCGATGAAGAGGGAGCTGCATTTCATTGGGGAATAAAAACTTGAACAAGTCTATGCTAGGAAATATGTTGCGCAAAATAATTAAAAAAAACGCTTCTTTTAAATACAATATCACCTGAGTAAAACCGAATATTTTAAAAATTTCTCTTCAAACTGATGTTTGATTCATAGAACAGCATAAACAGGTGCCTAATTATTTTAAAGATTACATTGATTTTTGCAACTGCACAGAATCCGGTGTTTTCTTCGAAATATTCTATATAAGCAGCAGTAAGCGCTATAGATTTATCTAATCACGAGCATCGGAGAGTTTATTTGATTTCTCCGACGACCGAGGGGCTCGTAAAAATTTTACTCCTTTGTCCACAGAGAGAAAAATTTGCCCCGCGGGGGTCGGCAGCGTCTGCTACTGATAAGTAGGCAGGGAAAGAGAACTCCATCGAGATTCTCCCTTTGTTTTCCTTTTTTCGACGGTGCTTCGCAAAATTTACGAGGATTACGTCGAGTCATTTTCGAGTTTCCCGCCGGGACGTAAAGCCGCCTCGTAAATTGGGATACTGTCCTCGAATTCCGGTCTTTCCGAAAAGCAACGGCGGAGATAAAGTCTAACGTGGCCGAGCAATTTTACAGGAGGGCACGAATGAAGGTTATCGAATTTAGCACTCCCGACTCCTTTATAACGCACAGGAATAACGTACTATGAAGAAAGAAGATCACATTATGACGATTTCCTAAATTTTGTCCAACATTGTTCGTGCGACCGCGTACACCCAAACACGTGTAATATTTTCATTGACAAAATGCATTGCGGGCAGATTTGAAGGTATTGAGCGCGCGAACACCGGTAGGTATGCTTTAAACAGAATATGCAAATTTTTTTGTCAAATTTGCGTTGCAAACGTCAGCAGATTCTAGATCGCCGAGGGTGCGGCTTGTTACAAGAATCGCAGACGGGAAATTCGGTTGCATCGCTCGTGTTCGTGCTGTCGTGGCGTATTTACGCGTTCGCCGAAGAAATTTTGTCGCGAGGGGTATACTTCCCGGCGAAAACTGCAAAGTAAGCTGGATTCCGCTGGAGTCAAGCGGCAAAAAATGAGATAAAAGCTGGCCGATACGCGATGTTCGACTACGGGATATTGCGCGTACGTATCCCGATAACAGGAATAGTGAGAGCTAAGTGAGAAGAGACGAACGAGGGAAGAGAAAAAGAACGGTATCTAGCGGGAAGAACGCGAGAAACCGAAAAGACGCGTTTATAAACTCAGCACGAAACAGCGTTATCGTACAATGGACAAGACGCGTCAGGGAGCCGGTCACGACATGGAAAAGTCGAGTGACAATGAGAGTTCACGGAGAACGGGCTGGCAAATTTATGGAACATGGCGGCCTCTCGCCGAACTTGGAGATTTATCGGACTGATAGTTACAAGAGCGAAACGGCGACGACGCCGGTACGCGCTCGAAAACTTCTGCCCCGTAAAAATATTTTCACCCCGGAGAGACGGAGCGGAGCCCGAGCAAAACGAGTCCCGAGCGAAAAAAGAACGGCCCCGAAGCAAGACAGAGACGTCGATGCTGTGGTCAAGACGTCGAAAAGTCGACGGACGAGAGTTTGCCGTGGCGAGATTTATGGATTATCGCTCGAGCGTTTAAGATTTATCGGACAAATCGAACCCGGAGTCGTTGAGGGGAGATTTCCGTCAAAAACGAAACTGCACAATCGACGAAAACACGTTTCGATGTGCGAAAAGTGAAAAAATCCACAGTACTCGCCGTCCGACGTAAGCGGAATTTTGCGCAAGGAAGTGCCGAAATAAGCGAACGCATGTTTCGATATCTAGCGAGCGGTGATATAATTGCAAAGAGATCGAGCCTCCGTGAATGTGGAAAGTTGAAAGGATTTATGCGCACGCGGTAGCAAAGGAGTTACGTAGTAAAAACGTCAAAGTTTAAGATTTATTGTATCCAGACGAAAGAAACGTCCGAGGAAGCTCCACCTCGTATCGATCTTTTTTCATATAAAAGTAGTATTTTTAAGCAGCGAAAAAAAGAAATGATCTGAAGGGGATGAGATCCGAAGGATTTGAGCGAATGCAAGTCTATCGTACCACAGTTTTTATCACAATGTGATTAAAAAAAAATAAAACTTTGAACGATATCCTTCGAAAGATTTACAGAAGCGATCGCAAAGAAATTTCGCGGCGAATCTGTCGAAATTCGCGATTTATCGAAGCAGAAGTAAAAGGATCAATAGCGCTGATCCTTGAGAATTCTGCAGAACGAGGTCTCTGGCCTTTGTCTTACAATTTACATGTTCAAGTAAAAAAAGATCAATATTTATGGATTAAAATCAAAATTCGCAATCATATTACCTTTATCAAAAATTTCTTTCACCGATAAGGTAAAGTAGAAAAAATAAAAATTTATAAGCGTAAGTTCTATGAGTGAATTTATGCAAAGAAATATATTTCTCGCCTGTTGATTCCAATTTATTTGACATCTTGTCCTATTTAGTACATTTCTAAAATTATAAGTCAACACACTTTAGCAACACACTTGATCGATATTTTTAATCTGTTTTTATATCAGCGTCACGAATTCGCGCCATTGTGACTTCGAAAAGAGAACGATATTGAAACATATTTTCAAATGCGAAATGTTTCCAGAAACGACAGAGAAGAAATCTTGCGACGAAAGTGCGAAAGTTCGAGACTTATCGAACCAGCAGTAAAAGGATCAACGTGGCTGATCCTAGAAAAGTACTTCACAGCATACAATAACTTCTCCTGCTCTTCTTACTTTCATGAATATTTTCAGATAGCAGTACAAGACAGAAGGAAGAGCAAAAGAAGAAAATGAATAGGAACAAGAGCTGGTAGACAGCAAGATAGTACAAGAGACAAGTAATAAAATTGAATAAGAAGCGAGTTGATGGTGAAACAGATGGGCAAACATATTGTAGATAAAATTCTCATGCATAAGGTAATACGAAGTTCCCTGTGATAAATGACAAAGAAATAATGTTAAACATACATACATATGATGTATAAATAACATCTGCTTAAGAATGCAATGCTGCGCAGCCTTGCCGCACATTCAACATTCGATAAACGGTGCAATATTTTAATAAAACTGTATTTTTTAAATATACTGATTGCAGTAATATAATTTCATTTAATATTTCTCATATTTATATTTATGAATGTACCACCGAAAATACAGTAAGACAAAATGGTAATATTATAAATGGTGATATTGTAATCGGTAAAATTTGAGGAAAATATAAAATTTATATTGTTAATTAATTCTATAAATATCACTTGCTTTTTAAAAAATAATTTTCGAATTATTTTTATAAATTCATAAAATGATACATTATTGTTTCAGCTTTAATTCTTTAACTATGGAACTTGTTCAATTCAATGCACGAAAGCAAATGAAAGAAACAGACATGAATAAATAAACTTTTAATATCGATCAAGCTTGACGAGGATAAATCGATCTCACCACGCATCACTGTGGATCGCAGATCGCTACACTTTCCAACAACAATGACGACAGAAGCGAGCAACGGAAAAACGGAAGAAATGAATGAACGTGATATGGGAAGGCTTGATGGAAGAGAACGCGAGAATACGCGCGGAAGAATAGCGGACCAACAACACAACAACGAGAATGCAGAAGCGAATCTATACGGAAGAGGGAGTAAAGGGATCGACGCGGGATCGCAGATTGCGGGAATTTCCGGTTCCCCCGTATCCCCGATACTTATCGCGCGGCAGAATCGGCGATACACGGCAACGCGAAACCGACATTCGCCAAACGTCGCACAAATTCCCGAGATTTTCCGCCGAGCAATCGAGCCCGTTGAAAAGTCGCGCGGCATTTCTCCGCTCCGGATTTATGGATGGCGCTGTCACGTAAGCGGCTCAAGCTTCCCGTTTTCGATAGAACTCAAAGCCGTAAAAAATGAAATAGTAAAATAATCTACTAATTCTCTCATAGTACAGTGAATTCAGTATTGGCCTGGTCAGATCAACGATCATCAATCAACTGAATGTAAAATCAACCCGAAATTCTTACAGAAGCAAATCCTCTTTTAGAAACATGGAAAAATCTGAAAGTACAAAATCGTATACTTATATATAAAATGTGTAAGGTATAAAAATGCTAAAAACTATATGGTGATGAAAAAGATAAGAGGAAACGTTCTTCCCTATATTTTTTATTTACTTATACAACTGTGTAAATCGTAAAATCTGCTAGATTTGCCTGTGCGCATTATTAGATCTGCATTTCACTTCGCGTCTTCGTTCACAAGAGCATGGCTTTCCTAGATTCTGCTGGATACAATGTCTCCGAGCGGAAAGGCAAGAGGAAAGTAAGAATTTATACGCGCTCGTATATTGGTTTCTCGAACGGATATATTCAGTGGGGCGCGAGCAAAAATCTACGATACTGTCTTAGCGAAAAATATTTCCGCGCGATAATCCTTCCGCGTAGTTCCATTGACAGAAACTGTATTGCCAACTAAACCAAATGTCACAATAACCTGAATCTTATAGATTAAAAACATTAATTGTCAACACATGCATGAATTACCTTCGATAACTCTTGATGTGTGATCCGGGATGTCACGCGATAGAATTCTTCGATGTCGCACTTTAATCGCTGTAACTACCAAGTAGCATGTCACTGAAACTCGCGAAACCGGCGCAGACACGTCAAACAGTTCGTAGAATCAACAGAGTCGGTCTAGTACGAATATCCTCACCAATTTCCCCGCGCATGCAATTTTTAAGGACGCGGAAAACGCACTGGAATTCTTAAGAGTCTCTCAATTATCCCATGGACGTCATTTTATCATTTTTATCGCGTCGCAGAATGTCCGCAAAAATTGAGGTGACCCTTCGCAGAGATATTATCCCAGGGTCCGTGGAGTTATCCTTTATCACCATGCATTATCCTCTACTATCTATTAGTGGAATATCGAGGATCGTCCTCGAGACGCGCCAACGTCCGCGCACCTTTTTAATTCTCCCTGTCGACGGTGTCCTCTCGCTATTTTATTTCGGTCACGCTCTCACCATTCGACCTCCTGCCCTCTCTCGCGTAGTTGCTACGTGAAAAGTAATAAAGGTGTATTAAAATGGCCGCCCTTAATAACCATCGATTTCAATAACAATCGAGGGTCATGACGAGAGCGAACTCATCGAAGATACCGAACGTGATTACATTTTCGGCGTGAAAATACTGAGAGTAATAACATCCATAAAAATATTATAGCAAGTACATTTGGACGGAATGAGTGAGATACACAATGGAACGTTATTCAAATAATTATTCGTAAATGCAAACACAATTATTCGTGATTGTTTACAGATTAAAATATATATTAAAACTTCAAAGAATTCACGATTATTACGATTATTCGCAAATACGTGAAAAATATGAAACGATTATATGATATTTGCAAATATAAATTAAGTGTTTTTAAATAATAAATAATAAATTATTCATTGTTTGCAGATGTATCTTGTTCAACGCTAATATTATGGCAACAAAAATCACAATATATTTTCCAAAGCGCTGCGAATGATTAAATAAAGACTTGTGAAAAAATATCAGTAATATTTTTTAAATTAATTAAACTAAACGATAAGTAATCAAAATTATTATACACAAGATATGTAATTAAAGAGAAGAAAATGCAGCCCAATTCCTAAAGTACCAATAATGAGAGATACATTGGAAACGGCAGCGATAAACGAAACACCTACGAAACCACAATCGCCCTATCATTAAAGATATTTAGAGGTATTAAGCATAGATAGCACAGACGATGCGTTATCTTGAACGATGAACGAAAATCACGATTGTTTTCAGCGATGAACAGCGAAGTGTCCTCGAAAGATTCCAAGATTCATAGAGAAACGCTCATTAAGGAATTCACGGAGATCCCTCTCTGATCGACAGCAGACAAGTGGGCTCATGACTTGGAAGAAATCCCACGACTTCGATGGAAACCGACGTAACATTCCCTCTATTTTCCAAATCGATACTTTCTTGCGTGCCTGTGTTTTATTGTGCACACACACAAGTCGGTCAATCGCGTGTACATTTGCAAAACACGCGGAATGATATCTGATATCAATCGCGCGCAAAATTAATAGAAATAAATAATTTCGAAACAATTTAAACTGCGCGATATCTATCTGCGAAAATAAAAATAAAAATAGGAAAATACAGAGATTAACCGTTAAAACACTTCAGGTCTCACGTGTACAGACTACAATATGCCTTTTGAATTCCGCAAATTTAAGCGTAAATACGTTAATACGTTCATCGAGCAAACGATTATAGCCTGCCGCATCCGCTTCCATCAATACTGCCTTTATACGCATTCACGGTGAATAGAGCGCACCATCCGAGCGTGTCGCTCGAGCGTTCCAAATCGCGAAAAACATTAAAGAGCTTTCAAATTTTATCCCGCAATTAAAAGCCGCTTCCTAACGAGTTATTAACGATTTCTTGTTTCACGCCCAGAATCGCGTATACTTTGTTACATCTGGAATTAAGCGTAGGCTTGAAAAATTTTTAAATAAAATTTTTAAAAATTGCGCTACTCTAAAGGTTTTATAATATCAAATTAGAGCGTGCGAAAATATCACTGTTTAGAACAGAACATTAGCAGAATGTTAAAAATCAAAGAAAGCAATCGCTGTTATTGTTCCAACGTTAACGCGTCGCGCCTTATCGCACTGCGTATCACTTAAGCCATAACTCGCGCTATACGCGCATCTAAAAGGATCCTCGCTGGGAGCAGATTATCACTTATCCTTTGGGAATGTTCCCGGGCGTACGCGGTATTCGAAGTGGATCGAAGGATTCGCGCTTGCGGCAGGAACTAGACTTTACACAGAAACAGTCGACCCGGCCCGGGATGCGCTGCAAGTGGGCACGTATCTTGTTACCCGCGGCGTATCTCCAGAGATTACTTTCCGGGAACGAGCGCGGAGATGTCCTGGATTCTCCCGTCGGAAATATTGCCGTGAACCAAAAGGAAAGTATCGCGTAGGTTTGAAACATTTGTCAGGTCCTTTGGGCCGCGACGCCACTCCTGGGGAGGAGGAGATCCTTCGGGGACGCGTAGCATTATGCGCTGGTTACGACTGCATTTTTCAAAAGATTAAAACGTAAAAAAGGGGGCCCACGCTGCCGTAGTATGTCTCGAGAGCTTCCAGAGAAACCGCGAAACGACGTGAATTTTTCAAGTATGTTCCGGCCGCGATGTTACTGGGAAAATACTATTCATAACGCGCTGACATTATTTGTGGCGCGGATGCGTAGTGATTTAGCAATTCCTGCGAAAGCAGAATAAATACAAGCGAGAGAAGAGCTTTAAACAAAATATGAATAAATAATAACACTGCTGGATTTTGTTGAAAAAAAACATCGAAATAGAAAATGTCAAATAATAACTGAAAATAATAAATAATTCCACGATTTCGTTATCGAAATTTAAACAAATAATTTAATTTTCAATCAATTTCACTTTTGCTAATTTTTCTAAATCTAATTACACGAAATAGAGCGCACACTGATAACAAAAGGCCCGATTAAAATACTGAAAGGTGATTCACTGCTGCAGGACCCAAAACGCTATCCTTAATGAACGCGGTGATCAATTATCGTAAGGGTGGTTTCCCGAAATCTTGACGTCACGAGCAAAACGGGCACGTCATTACGGTGGTTAATGTAGTGCGCTAACCGACGAGGTAAAAAGATCCCAAATCCTGCTCCGTGAAGGTCAGCGGTGGCGCGGGCACACTTGACCTGGTTGCGACGAGCGTAGCGCCGACCGTCGAACGACAGACGTCAGAGCGCAAAATTGCAACGCAAACACTCGCGAGCGACTCAACTCCGCCGTTGCAGACACATCACTTTAAATTGCGCTTTGTACAATTGTCACACCGTCACGAGCAAGTCACACGAAAGAGATGAAAAAACAATTGCGTCGGATACGATCGTAAGTAGGGTGATCTATTTATGCGCTATGATCCCAAAGTGATCGACGAATATGCGCCTAAGGATTCTATTGCCGCAGTCACTTTCGATAAAGCCTTCACGAGAAGCGAGCTGTCGAATCTGTCGATAAAGCTTATCTCTCACAAGAAGGGTTATCGTCTAGAAATTCATGCTAATTAAATTTAATCCATGTATCACATTCGAAATTATCTGGTTCAAGAGCTTCGAGAGAGTGAATCCAATTATCGATAAATCCCATCGTCAAATCCTATCACATATCTTCTGGAAACCATCCCCATCATAAGACTATTTGCTTGAACGCGTATGAGAGATACTCGCGACCTTCCGCGAATCCTGAAATAAAAATCTTCCAACTCGCCCCGTTGCAAAATTGATAAGAAATCACCCCTAAGATTCGAGCACCGTACTTCGAATGCGACTAAGCGAACGGCGATTCGACGATCCGTTTTCTCCGTGAGCAACGAAAAAGATTGAAGGAAAAACGGGGACACCTTTTCCGGCAGTGCTCTTTGCCCGCGGACGCGCTGCTACTGCCACGATCTCCTCTCTCGCGTGGGGGCTAATGCACAGAGGATCCCGTTCGAGGGGTTGACCTAGTTAAGAGATGAGTTCGGGGTGTCGGAGAGTGCGCGGTACGGACGCGTTCACGTCGCGGTACGTACTGATTGTGAGCCGTTGTACCACGTACGTACGGTCTCTCTCTCTCCCTCCGGCTAAAGCTGCGCGTGGTAAGGCCGCGAGAGCTCGTTTCCCTTCGCGGTTCTCGCATTCTGCCGCCACCACCGCCACCACCACCAGCAGCAGATCGACCTTCGGCGTAGCCGACGTCGTCGCCGGGACCGCCGCCACCACCACTAGCACCACCACCACCGTCGCCTCCGCCGCCTCCGCCGCCGCCGCCGCCGCCGCCGCCGCCGCCGCCGCCGTCGACGACGACGACGCGAGCCCCCTCGAATCATCCCCTGAAACTAACCCCTACCCCGCGCTCTTCGACCAAGCTCCCCTCCATATTGATCAGTGCGCGCAGTCCACAGGCCGCAGCATCCAACGACGAGAACGCGCGTTGCTACACGTTGTCAACATGCTTAGCAGACCGAAATCCCATGATGCGGGATAGTGACGGGCCCCGGCCGCGAGAGCAGCCGTATGCATCCGCAAAATCGTTGCGGTATACGTGAGAAAGTGCTAAGATTTATATGCACCTAAACGCGTTTCTCGTATGATCGAGAAAACAAATCTATCTGATCGCAGATGCTATCCGGATAACTTGTTCAAACCGAATTTGAAAAATTGATCTTATCGCGTCCTTCGCCCTTGTAACAATCTACACAATTGATTTGTAAAATTATCCAGCAAATTAATGTAAACAAACAATTATTTTAAATGCATTTTGTTAAATTGTTAAGTTCATATATATTGCCCATTTTTCGACAATGTTAAATATAAAATATAAAGCATTTAAAAAAATTATAACAAGTTCTCCGATAATTCAACATTGAAATTACATTCAAGCAAAATATTACATTCTGATGCAATTAATATTCCATAATTATTCGGATTGGTCATGCATTAACAGTATTTATGCGAAATATTATAAATACGCTGCAACAACAAAGAACAAACGCTCATATTCCGGAAATCCCTTACCTCTCTTTAATTACCGCGACACAGGTGCAAGCCGGTGCCGTTTATTAATCGATTAAAACCACGTGCGTCCGCGTAACCTCGGCTCCAAACTTTCAAAGGATTTCACCGATGGATCTCACCGTTTACCGAACATAACTTTCGTAAGATAATTAAACTGAATAAAAAAAATAGACTGACGTCCTTAAATCCATTAATTCTTTATATAAGTTTGCTTTTATATGGAAATATAGAATTAATTAATATTCATTTCTGTGTAAAAATAAAATAACTAATGATACAACGTAAAAGATTATATATACAATGCTGTAAAAACGCTACAAAATTCGAGTAAACAATTTTTGGCAATAGAAAATAAGAGATGGATAAAAATAAGAAGTGATTTTAAAAAATATATTGCCAAATTACGATAAAAAATTAATCTGA